TTATAGGTATTATGCGAGCATTTTTGGGAAATTTCAACACATTAAATGTTATCAGTGAATAAAATTGTCAAACAATCACAGAAATAATTTAATTAAATTTCTTATAGGAAAAAATGATATTATTATACGATCTCTAAAGTATAAACCTGAGGTGATCCAGCTTGATCAACAACATAAAAGAGTTTGGTTCATTTCAATAAAGCAATCACGTTTTGATCTGGAAACTGTCACTGTCTGATTGTGTCTTCGTGGGTCTCACTTTGTGCCAAGGATGTAAAGGACAAATGTCTGAGGTTATTCCTTTAAGTCATGGGAAATACACTTAACAAACTTCTAAATGGTCACTTTAATAAATGAATTTATTTAGAAACTACTTTATAGAGTGGTGTGATATTTTCAAATTATTACAACAAACGAGTCTTCTGAACAATTGTAGAAAAAAAATAAAATTTCACCGATTAAAACCAATGTTCCATGACGAAGCTTAAAAACAATAAATCTGTACTTTGCGGCACGTGTTTTGTGTAATTAGCATCTTATTGTGATCATTATCAAATTTTAAAAACTAGTTACACTAAAAAACACAAAACATTGGCAAAATGACCATTGAGATAGAAGGGAGAGTTGTTAGAATGTTGATATCTGGACCATCCTTGCACCACGTTTTACTCATTATTTTTCAATGTTTAATTGTTCTTGATATTACTTTTAAAAATTAACAACCAGTATCAAAACTCACTTAAACACATTTTTCTATATGTTGTGCTTCATTTTTCGTCGCCAATTTATCACAATTTGAAAGTTTTGGACAAAAATTAACCAAACGGGAAGTGGCCATTTTCGTATGAGGCCAAAATTTCGTGTCACACCAGGTTAAATGAGTGGTTAATTGTTCTGAAACAGTCTTAGAAACATGAAAACAAACAATTTAAATCGTATGAAAATTATAAGAAATCGGTGCTCGTGAAAGTCTAATCAAAGCTCAAGCAGTCTGAATCATCTTTAAAGCGGTACACTTACGCGCTAAACACCCAAGGATATTGACCAAAAGACCTCTGTGTGATGATGCACTGTCAAATTCCTCGTTCTGAATCCTATTGAACACAATTGGGATTTTTATAAGGAATGTTAGTCCCCCTTCCATTCCTCAAACTTTCAATGGTTTGGAAAGATCTATGCAGTAGGTATGGCAGCAGATGTGTCCATCTCCTATTCATGGGCACATGGTATCCAACAGTTAAGATTGTCATGTAGATATTGGAGCGAGTGGTGGTCTTACTCCATAGAGATTTTTTGGTGTGAATTTTCTTTTTGAGGATACATCATTTCCTTGACACTTTGCTTAAAATTCTGACGAGATACTTACATGAAATTTACGCAACATCGACCTTAAATATACATCATTAACCATGAATTAAAGAAATTAATATACATTGCATGCATTTGTTCTTTTAAAACTTAAAAAATGTTAGGAGAACACTTAGAAGTTTGGTTCAGTGTATAAGTCGCGCTGTGGAATCGGTATAAAATCTATATTAATACATCACACATACATAAATAGGAAAATCTTTGATCAAAACAATTGATACTAAATCCTTAAATAACTATTTAGTGATGATTTGTATTTACTTCTGAACATTTAGTTACAAATAATTAAAATATTCAAAGCAGTAAATATAAATGATAAAATAGTACTGTATCTTTGTAACAAAAACGATTTTTTAAGTAATATATACAGTTAGAGAGTGATCACTCAACAGATTAATCTTTTTTTTCAATTTTCATCTTTTAAAATTAACGATACATCTTAATAAGGTTACAAGTACCATTTTCGAAAATGAAGCATACTTCAATATTTTTTTTATCATTAAACGATCATTCCATGATTAAGGGACAAAAAGGAAAACAATTATCCTTCTGCGTTCTGTAAATCAGAAGTGAACAAAGAGTTAGATTACACGGTCAGTATATACTGGTCCTTGCTGACAACTGTGAGGGTTGCGGTTAGATATAAAGCAGAGGCCTGTTAAGCAGATCGAACGTTCGCAAGCGCTCGCCAAAATTCCTTATACCTCAAATAGTAACTTTGACGAGCGCTCACGAACGTTCGCTCTGCTGAACAGGCCTCTGATAAAGACATTGTCTGCGTTTGTAAGGCTCATATAAGTCAATTATCTAAATTATATTGTAGAGAAAAAATGGTATTTGATTCTACTTGTTGTAATGTACATAGCTCCCTTCTAGGAATGACATTCTTCAAAATCACGTGTACGTTTTGAGTACATTTAATATTCGAAACAACCAGAATGAATTTGAAATACCATATCAATATTTGATTTCCAAACTGCACCAAAATCCTTACAAACAAAGATACATATATTCCAGTAAATGTGTTTTACAAGCTATTTCTCACTGAAATATTAACGGTGGCAAAGGAGAAAATTCAGGAATACTGTGCAGCAATATTGTCTGAGAAGTGTCTGAGAAGTGGTTTTAATCAGATCTTGAAACTAAAATATTTACAGGAACTTTTGGAAAATGTGTAATCACACAATTTTACCAAAATCAAAGGCCTAAAAACGTACGACTTTTCAACTTTAGATAGAACCAGTCCCTACGATAAATTCAAGTCCTGGATTTTTGATATCATTGACAGCTGGTTTTTCAATAAAAATGGAACTCCTAAATTGACTAACCTTATCATTGGTCATTTGCAAAATTATTTTGTTAAAAAAACACACTGATTGTACACAAAAGTACTCTGAAGTTGACATCAAAAAGATGCTCTAGCAGAGCAAACACAAAATATCAGAATATCCCCTGCCGATCGTTCAAAACCCACCGTCTTCTCCTTGTCACGGTCGGAAAATGACGGGAAAATCCGTCGTAAATTCAGTGTATATATAATGGACTAATATACAGTATGAAAAACATCAGTCAGCTTTTGACTCAATGATAAATTGTATTTTTTGACAAGGACATTGAATCGACCATAGAACTTACGAAATGATTACTTGAAACGAGATTGCTAAGACATTAATTCGCTGGATCTTCTTTTAATATGAATGTCCCATGGATTTACATCCCGACGAACCAATAGAAATTTGCTCGCCAACGAACATTGATACCCTCGAATTAAAATGATTTCACAGTATCCTTTATCACAAACTTAGAGAGACTTTGTCTACAATTGATTCGATACCCAAGAAAATGCTCTACTTTCTCAAGGGAAGGCTTTGACAACAAATTGAATAATATCTCGTTTAATATAAAATTAATAAATTCTATAGTCGATAAAATTACCGTGTCAGCAAAAACAATTTATCATAACTTCAAATGCTGATTAACTTTTTAATACAAATGGTGATGTCATTTTTTTTCCAACTAAACTGTCTACGGACTTTCGTTGACAAAAGCACTAGGCGCTCGTTGCTGCGCAACATGAAATGCTTACTCTTTTTTGGAGCTTGATCCTACCACTGATGGTTTTAGAGGTACGTGTTAGCTCTGCTTCTGTTGCATATTGTTATTTTTTTTTTAAATCGTGAATATTATTTTTGTTTTTATATTGATATTGCTTTAGTATGAAAAAAATAATGTAATGTAAATTTTGTAATTTTTCATTGAAAAGATTACCAGTTTTTACTTTTGAAAATGTCTTGAACAAAGCTATTCCATTTTCAATTAAAACTTTATGAATATAATTGTGTTTTAATTTTTGACACTATTAAGTAGCATAAAATTTTAAAAGGCTGCTGCTTAGATTCAAAGAATAATGTGTTTATCCTTCAATATTCAATGCATATGTATTATTCAGCTTCATAATTGCTGGCAGCAGCAATACTTATGAAAACAACATCAAACTATATGCATAAGTGCCACTTGTGAAAATTCTCGTTCCGTTATTCAACTTTCAAGGATTGACTTATTAGTAAGTCTGACCATCACACCACACGAAAAATTTTAAAAGCAAAGGACAGTAATATGTTTCACTTTGATAATATGTATCACAAAAATGTTATGTTTTGAAATTAATTCATTTCGTAAGAAATCATTGTCTAGTTTGTTAGATATGAAAGGTAGACAACGCTAGTTAAAAGGAGGGGAGAATTTTTTTCACCCTTTATGATAATTATTCAACGTATTCATCTGTTATTTGTTTTCCCTGGCATACCTAACAAAGTATACAGTCAGTGATTCCCTATATTTACATTAATATGTGAAATAAAATATAAATTAATGTCTGTTAAATATGAAATACACGAAGCATCCCATATTAATTTCCATATTCCCCGCCCAATGACGTCAGACATAATGACAACTGAGGAAAATTTATACACATGCCAGGCGCTTGGCTTTTCACTTGGAAAAATTTTTGTTATGATAATAATTGCAAATATCGAGAATTCATGATAAATTGAACTTTCTAAGCCATACAGAAAATAGTTGGAAATGTAAATATTTGTTTTTACTTTTTCACATTTATAATAATGATAGTAATAAGTAAATTTAAAAAGCGCCAAATATAATGAAAAATTATTCTTTAGCGCTGTAAAACGCTTATCAACATGATTTAAGAACTGTAAATAGATTTAACATTTATGTGAATTTGAAAGTTTTTCTTCTTTTTTTTTTTTCTTTGATGATTCTTTAAAAAAAAAACCATAAATAACCAACATTATATACAAATTACAAAAGAGGAGATTACAGTATTTCTTTTGCTAAAACAAAAAATCGTTATCTCCCTATTTAATTAGACATGTATATTTATGACACATGGTCATTTTTTTCTACTCATGCATTTTTAAACTTAGAATTCTTAGAATATTTTAAAGTGGTTTATAAATTCTATCTCAGATATCGTTGTATTCTAACACTTTATTACGTTTTTGCGTGATATTTCCAAAGAAATATGATCTTTTATCGTGATCAAGTATTAATATTGATCTTCTATATATATGCATAAATTTTCTATCAAACAATATTCATCATATCTTTATGTCAGTATTGAAAACAAAGAATATGCAAAGGTAGGGATTCTTTTTTCTCTCTGCTGTAGCTAATGCTTAGCATACATATATTGTAAAAGTTTTAACAGTTTCTATAATGTTTCGACAGTGTTGTATTGCTGTTGATGATCTTGGTCACTGTTGCGTTTGGTTCCGTCAAGGAGACACCGCAGGAGATCGTTACCAAGTACAACAACTACCGGACAATCTGTACTGGACTCGGATATCGAAACCTAAGCTGTAACGCGGAAAAAAAAGGTAATTTTTTTTCTTTCCTGAAACTTTAAAATTAAAATTTTAAAGATTAAAATTCAGAATAAATTATCTAACTATATGTAATAGGTTCCTCGTTGTCAAGAAATGTTTGAAATTGCATCGTTTAAGTATCAGTCATATTATCAAGCGATGGGGTATACCATGAGAAACCGATGCGTTTTTTGTTGAAAATGGTGTGATTGCCGACCGACACCACTACTGATCGGACGGTGACTGCGGCCATTTTGCGAATCGTTGGGGTAATCGGTAGGAAATAATTGGAAGTTAAAATTGAGCGATGTCTCCAACGATGCCTCATATCGCTCCTCATCGGCAACCCATCATTAACACATCTTTCAAGGATCGGCTGATGTAAAGTCGAGCATCGTCCAATATCCGTTGAATCTGAGGTCAAAGGGGGTTGAGTAGTGTTCAACAGATAACGGCCGATCATACATTGACCCGTAGTCGACCGATGTACGATCGATGTTCACCAATGTATGAGCGATGTAATATACATCAGCCGATTATCCTGGAACATCGTTTTATGATTAGCAATGCATCGCTGGGCCTTTGTAAGTCCGACCGGCAACCACGTCATTTTTATCATAAAAAGCATTGGTTGCACATCGTATACCCAACGCTGGATAATGTGACTGATACGTTAAGGACTACTAGGCCGATGTGGACCGATGTTGGGGCATCGTTAACACCACGGATTACCGTCAAATGTAAAAGTAAGTCTCTTCATAAAACTCCGTTATGATACACTGTAAATGTGTTTGTAACTTAAAATTTTATTATCAATTAGACTAAAATAAGCCGACGAAAGACTACAATCTAATATACAGTTTTATCTACAAAATCATTATTGTACATGACGACAATAATGTGCTTTTGATTCAATCGAGGCTTATAAATTGTTCTTCTACCGCACATATGAACAACAGAAGTTATTAACATTATTCTTTTCTCTCATTGAAATAGTAATTTTCAGTTTTGCAACAAAAAAATTCGACACTAAGTTGCAGCTCATATTGCATTATATTTGGATTTATTTTACTGCTATCACACTTTTAAAACAATATCGATGTTTAATTCTTTTAAACCAATGTATTGTTAAGTTCTCTGTCAATATGCCATTTTTAAAGTCTTCTTTGCATTCTGTTGAGTCAGTTGCCTAAAGGAAATGACGAAATATGCAACTTGCCAATATTTATATTACTGAAGTTTTTTTTATGATAACTAAGTCGAAAAACTTATCTTGTTTTAAAACATTAATTTTAGTCCTATTTTATTTTAAATTAATGTAATTTTCAAAATGCTTTAAATGTATTTGTAACTAAATAAGTTCCTCTAATAAGCAAGGATTATCTAAATATTAAAAATGTGCCTGACAATCTAAAATAAACTTATTTTCATTGAATTACTGATCAATTGAATTTTAATTCTACTCGTCAACAGATATATTTATTAGAGACGATATGGTTAAGCATGGCTATTTTTTTATTTAACAGTGAAACAGACTATTGCTTTCCAAACAACCCTGAGTAGTAGCCTGCAGAACATTAAATCATACCAGGCAGTTATATTTGACACTGTAAAATTGAACGAAGGAAACGGTTATGATAAAACGACAGGTATTTTTACCGCCCCTGAGGATGGTGTGTATACTTTTAGCTGGGCGATTGCGTCAGCGGGTGGTAAATATTTTATCAGTGAGATAGCACATAATGGAAAGCCCATAGCTTATAGCTACTCAGACGGGAGCGGTCGCACAGGTTATGTTACATCATCAAACACTGCCAACATCAAAATGAAGAAAGGAGATAAAGCAGGGATTAGAGCACATAATGGCTACGGCAAATTTGCTTTGGGTGGATATTACTGCACTTTTTCTGGTTTTAAAATTTAAAAATGCATTCTATAATCATTGGAATAAATTGAAAGGATTTGATTATAAAATGCCATTGACAATCAATGACAGCATATAAATGATAAATTTATATGTTCTGTAAAAGAAGATTTTACCCCAATAAAAGTCAAATGTTTAAAATTCCTGAAATGTTCTCTATAGTATATGCTTTATTTTTTATTATTAGTTTTATTATTAATTGAAGGATATGGATATAACGAACAGTATTTAATCTCAAAGTCAATAAAACAATACAAAATAAGAGCAGAGCAGACACGGACCCCCGAAACATCAGAGGTGGGATCAGGTGCCATGGAGGCGTGAACATCCCCTGCCGACCGGTAACACCCGCTGTGTGCTCCTTGTCATGATCAAGAAATAACGGATAAACGTCAATTCAGTGTATAAATAATGGGCTAACAATTGGTATGTAAAATGTCAGTCAGCATTTGACTCAGTGATAAATTGTTTTTGCTGACAAGGTCATTGTATCGATCATAGAACTTACGAAATGATGACTTTAAACGAGACTGCTGATATTCTTGTTTGTCAATAACTTACATCGTTTTAGATATTGTTCATACGCAGAGCATGCTCTTGCGTATATAAATTGTATTTTAGAAGAACTTCAAATTTTCAAATTTTATTTCTACCAGTGGTAATCCTATATATACTCATACTTCCTTTTCCAGGAAGAAAGAAATTCTTCAAAATCAAATGTCAGTTTTAAATATTTTCAATATTCCACAGAGTCAAAAGGAATTTGATCTACCCTATATATATTGGATTTCAAAACTTCATAAAGATCTTTACAAACAAAGATGCATTGCGGGTTCCAGTAAATGTTCAACCAAGCCCTTTCGTTACTCCTCACTAAGATATTGATAGTAGAGTTTTTAAATTACAAAAAAGAGCAGCAAGAATTATATTAGATGTGGCAACAGATGCTCCATCACTACCATTATTTGTGAAACTTGGTTGGCTGACTATATATGAATTGATAAATTTTCACAAATACACACTGCTTTACAAAACACTTCATGATGACATGACACCTGATTGTCTGAGAGACTCCTTTGAATTCATTTTCTCCAATAATCATATGTTACGTTCTGAATTTAACTATATGACTTTAGTCTACCAAAGTATCGCACGAATCTGTTTTAAATTTCTTTTCAATATTCAGGCGTTCATTTATGGAACAAATTACCTCTACATATACGTTTTTCCCCAACTGCACAATCCCTACGTAAAAATGTAAAAAAAAAAAAAAAAAAAAAAAAAAAAAAATCATCAATATACGCAACATTTCTTTTAAAATTTGTAACTGTTTATACTTTTTTCAAATGTATTTCACGTATGTAATATACTTGTGTTTTTCTGATTATTGTACTGTAAATTACTCTTGTTTTAAACTTTAGAGTAGAAAACCCCTTTATGCTAATTTCGACCAGTAAATTTTTTCGAAGCGCCATAGATAATAAAATGTTATTTTGTTTTAAACAAGACTGTTATGATTTGCATGTTTATTCCATCAGATTTTAAGGGAATAAAAATTAGAAAAGGAAATGATTTTTTAATAAAAGCAAATACCGGTACTTGTCGTCTAGCGAATAGAATGGTAAGAAGATTCCTCTTTGACCTTTTTTTTTAATTAACACACACAAACCGTTTTGCGATCACCTATGGGGATCAGTCTAATTCATCATTGCAATTATTGTGTTTCTTTAATCTTCCTAACAGAGACTCAATACAATTCTAACAAGAGGCCCAGGGGCCACAGCGCTCACCTGAGCACATCAGCTCGGAAAAAACACATATCAGATCAGAACTGAAGGGGGGGGGGGGGGGGGGTTGAATTTTAACCACCAAGGGGATCATAATTTGAACGAACTAGAATCTACATTACCTGAGGATGATTTCATATAAATATTACTAATCCTGGCTTTGAAGTACTTGAAAAGAAGATTTAAAAAGGTTTCCCTATATATTTCTATGTAAAACTGTGGTCGGCCATTTTTGCCACACCCTTACCCCGGGGTCATGACTTGAACAAACTTGAATCTACACTACCTGAGGATAATCTTACATGAGTTGCATCTTTTCTGTTTCAATGGTTCTTGAGAAGAAGATTTTTTAAAGATTTTTCCTATATATTCCTATGTAAAACTTTGATCGGCCATTTTGGCCCCGCCCTACCCCCGGGGGTCATGATATGAACAAACTTAAATCTACACTACCTGAGGATGATTCCACATGAGTTTCATCTTTCCTGGTCCAGTGGTTCTTGAGAAGAAGATTTTTTTAAAATGCCAATAATTTTTCTCTAATTCATGATTATCTCCCCTTGGAAAAGGGCGTGGCCCTTCATTTGAACAAACTTGAATCCCCTTCAACAAAGGATACTTTGTGCCAAGTTTGGTCGAAATTGGCCCAGTAGTTCTTGAGGAGAAGATGAAAATGTGAAAAGTTAACGACGACGACGACAACGACAACAACAACGACGACAGACAACGGAAAAATTTTGATCAGAAAAGCTCACTTGAGCCTTCGGCTCAGGTGAGCTAAAAAGGTGATAATTAATTAATGTACAGCCTAGAAAATCACTCCATAAACATCTCATAAAGATAGTTTTGACTCCGAATGATTAGCCTTCCTCTGAACACTGTTTGAATCAAAATATTCCTGTACACCGGAGTGTTGCATATATATTGCGCAAATGATAAACCATCTCGCTACTTCCCTTCTCTCTATTTCTTCTTCCCTTTTTTAAGCTTTTGAAATTATATCTATTAATTTCGTATTTATTTGAGTTCCTTAATTTATTTTGATTTGAACAGCCATGTGTACATGACATTTTTACACGTACTCAAACTATTTGGCAAATTCAACTAAACTATTTTTGCAATCAAATAAGCCTTATATAAACTTCTCATGTCATCGTCTTACAAAAGGAAATTACATTTTTGCATGTTTGCTCTTTGAAATATGATACTAATTTCGTGATTAATTTTTAAAATGTTGCTATACTTATATATATTCTGTAGCGCATCATTTATCATATAGTTCTATACATGTCATACACAATATATACACAGAATACTTTATCACAGAGTAAAGAATATGGAACGGTAAAGGAACCTTGTTTATGTGCTTGAATAATTCCTGGGTTTTTTTCTATTCTATTATTCATAGTTGGTTTTCACAGAGTACTTGAACTGTTACTGATCTCATTCATTGTCTTAATTTTTTCACAGTGTAGTGCTGTTACTAATTAATCTTCGTCACTGCCGTGTTTGCTTCTGTACAGGAGACACCACAGGAGATCGTTACCAAGTACAACAACTACCGGACCATCTGTACTGGACTTGGATATCAGAACGAAAGCTGCAAAACAGACAATGAAGGTAGAGAATCTTAAATATGATTGTAAAGTATTCAAAGCACTTATTACCAACCTATAAATTGACATTTTTCTTATTTTATCAAATTTATTTCTGAGAAAATATTGTTGTAAAGTAAAAAACACTTTTTTGGGAGAAATGGCTGTTTTGATAATTTAAGGAAGCTCTAAACACTAACAAAAACTGCTTTTTGGATTCAATGAAAAATATTTCATATAAAGGTGTGCATAATAAGACTTTTTTCATTTTTATAAATATATTGGTGCTTGCCTTATTTTTGCAGGGAAAATATTCAAAGGCAATGTACTATTTGTGAGCAAAAATTACTGCTGATTACTTACATTGGGGAAATTATTGAAAATAATGAATTCAATAACTTATTCGTGGTCTTGAATAATACTAAAAATATTTTAATCTATATTAAAACATGTAATCATCTGTAAAAAAAAAAAAAAAAAAAAAAAAAAAAAAAAAATCTTATTTCGAAGGGCAGATCACTCTAACTGCATAAAACTACCCCATAAGTAGAGCTCTTTGGTGTTTAGTGTTTAGAGCTTCCTTAAATTCATATTAAATAGCAATTCAAATATTGGAAAATACATGATTTATTATGATATTTCCAAATTTGACAGGAAAAGGGACAATTGCTTTTCATTCGTCACGAAGCAGTAAATTGGAAAACTTGGTGAATTGGCAGACAGTGATATTTGACAATGAGAGATTGAATGAAGGAAATGGTTATGATAAGAAGACAGGTGTGTTTACAGCCCCAGAGGAAGGTGTCTATACGTTCAGCTGGACAATCATGACAGTAGGAGGGAGACTTTTTGTTAGTGATCTTGTACATAATAAATATGATAAAGCTAATAACTACACAGATGGAACCGGTAAGAAAGGCTATGTAACAACATCAAGAACTGCCAACATCAAAATGCAGAAAGGGGATAAAGTATGGATAAGAGCAAACGGTAACAATGGCAAATTTGCTATGGGAGGACATTGGTGTACTTTTTCTGGAAATAAATTATAGATATGAATTATGTATTCAGTGAAATAAATTCAAGCTTGATACAATTTCTTGTATACTTTTTTTAATTTGTATTACCTTTTGTATTACCATTTACAACATCAAAAATAAAAATAGGTAAGGATCGTATAGATACAAACTCCAAGCACAATTCGTTTTCTATCTTTCTCTGTTGATGGGCTGTAAAATATCCGGAATGGTACCGTTAAACCAATTGAATTGTATTACTTGGTCAATGAAAAAGGTAAAGTTAACAAAAAGTGATGGATTTAACATTAGAAATAAAATGAATCATTGATCTGAGCATAAAACACGGATCTGTAGGATCAGTGGCTCTTTTCACAGATAATCTTGAAATTAATTTTCATCGTAAGAGGGATCTATATATATTTTTTCCACAAAAGTTCTTACGAGTTCTTAGTGTAAATAAGTTGCAACTTTACGAGAGTTCTTCTCCTCTCGTATGTATCTTAGTGCCAATTTTGATCAAAAAATATATTAACAGATGAACCTTAAATACATGTTACATAGAGCGTTCTACGTATTCTACAATAACATTTTATATCATTTTACAATGGTGGTTAAATTAAAAAAGTAAATGAAACATACTGCAATATTTTTACGATGGTAGTTTCTCTTAGAGTTTTTACGTCTGAATTGAAATTGTGTCGTCAAATTTTAAAATTTCATGCTTCACAACCGATTGAACTTAATTTTTATTGTCTATTTTGTCTGTTTCTCTGCAGGTACTGGCGTCTTGATTTGAGTGAAAAATTATCTAAAGCGTTAAACAAATAAACGAACAAAAAACTTCAAGCCCACTGAGATATATTGTGTCGACATATGAATAGGAATAACTATTGTTGTATTATTATAATGCATATCAAAACCTGGAATGTTCAACTGGTATCTTGCCGTCGCAAAATAAAATAAGAAATTTCTGGGAAAGTAAGTTTTATTTACATAATCATCAGTTTGAACTTTGCTGGATGAGGAATGCAGGGTTAGCTGAAATAATTATGACTAAGACAATGTTACAAAATCCACACACAATTGTGATTAGTAAAATTTGTTTTCATTGTTTAATTTGTCACATCAACAGGGTTTTTCGTTGTTAATCCCGTTCCATCTGTGTTCAATATTCCAGAAGTGAAAAAAGAATTAGATAAATTACATGATCAGTGCGTACTGGTCCCTGTCGACAAAGCGGGTAACAATATTGTCTTCGTTTGTAAGGCTCATTAGATAAGTTGTATTTTAGAAGAACTGGGATTTAATTCTACAAATGGTAATCCAACCTATACTCATACTTCCCTTTCTAAAGAAGAAATTCTTCAAAATCATATGTCAGTTTTAAATATGTTTAATATTCCACAGACCCAAAATGAATTTGAACTACCCTATATATATTGGATTCCAAAACTTCATGAAAATCCTTACAAACAAAGATACATTGCGGATTACAGTAAATGTTCAACCAAGCCTCTTTCTTTACTCCACTCTAAAATATTAATAGACGGTAGTGAAGGAAAAACTGCAAAAGTACTGTGCAACAATATATTCAAGAAGTGGTGTGAATCAGATGTGGATACTCAAAAATTCCAAAGAACTTATAGACAATTTGAAATCACAGGATTTTACCAAAATCAACAGCTTAAAAACTTACGACTTTACAACTTTATACACAACCATTCCCCACGATAAATTGAAGTCCAGGCTTTTTGATATCATTGACAGCTGCTTTTTCAATAAAAATGGAACTCGTAATTTTACTTACCTGGTCATTGGTCATTTATAAGATTATTTTGTTAAAACACATTCTGATTGACCGTTCACGGTAGCTTAGACGGTAGAGCGCTCGCTTCGTGATCGGGAGGTCGTGAGTTCGAATCTCGACGGCGACTGACCTAAGTTGATAAAAAAAAAATGGGTAGCAACTGTTCCTTCGCCATGCGCTCGTCACTTTGAAGTGAAAGTTGCGGGTCCTACGGATGAGACCTTAAAAACCGAGGTCCCGTATCAGCGGCATGCGTTGGCGCGATAGAGATCCCTCAGTGCTTAATGGTACCGAGTGCCGAGTACAGTTCAAAATTTGAAGCCCTTCACCGGCATACGGTGACGTCACCATATGAGTAAAAAATTCTCAAGAGGGACATTAAACAATACACAATCAATGAATCACATTCAGATTGCACACACAAGTACTTTGAAGTTGACATCAAAGAGATGTTTGAATTTCTGATTGATAATATTTATGTGGTTTTTGGAGACCAGGTATTCCAACAATCTATTGGAATTCCCATGGGTTCCAATTGCGCTCCGTCATTAGCAGAGCTATTTTTATTATTCATATGAAGTAGAATTTGTGCAAAACCTGATGCGTGAAAAGAAGAAACACTAGTTGTGGCATTCAACTCCACACTTAGATATATCGACGACGTATTGTCAATTAACAATAGTAATTTTTCCATTCCTACGTCGACTCGATATATCCTGGTGAGCTTGAGATAAAAGATACCACAGAGTCGGACACATCTGTTTCATATTTGGATATTTTACTTGAAAAAGACGTTAATGGTATTCTAACAACCAGGCTAAATGATAAACGTGATGACCTTAACTTTTCTATCGTCAATGTCCCTTACTTATGTAGCAATATACCTTCATCACCTGCATACGGAGTAAATATATTCAGTTGATTCGATACGCAAGAGCATGCTCTACGTATGAACAATTTCTAAAATGAGGTAAATTATTGACAAACAAGTTAATGAAACAAGAATATCAGCAGTCTCGTTTAAAGCAGGGATGGGGTAATTGAAAAAAGTAATTGTAAATGGCTGTAATTGAATACATTTTTTGAAGTAATTTGAAGTAATTTGTAATTGAACATTTTTTCAATTACTTGCAATTGTAATTTAATTAATTACACTGAAAAAAACACCATGTAATTTCAATTACTTTTTCAATTACATTCAATTACATTGATTTAATTCAAGATACATGTATTATGTTCACTACTGCCTCCTCATTTAGCTGTTATTTATTTATTTATTTATTTATTTATTTATTTATTTATTTATTTATTTATTTTGTAAATATATCCTCAACAATCCCTCAATTATACAAATCTTAAATTAGTATTTAGAAGCAAATAATTAAAAGATTGGCTTGATGATATTATTAATAATATAGTTTCTTTCTAATCATTATGTAAAATATTTATCTAAATTTTGTATGACTCTTCTTAGGTCTAATCAGCTATTAAACACACATTTATTTTATTTCAATCTTTGGTGTTTGATCAATAATAAAGAAAAAAATGCGTGTGTCATTAAGTTTTCTCTTGTAGGGAAGAGATAATTGCCCTCCAAACCACTGCTGTAAATTGCAATCAAAACAAAATTCTATTTAGAAGGTATTCCATGAAATATTAAGAAGACAAAGACAATGGAGATTATTATTTCAATTAAAAATGCTCCGCTAGCATTAGAAAAGAACCAGTTTCAAATTAATAAATTTTTAAACATCTAAACAGATTTTTATGAATGAATTTTGCATTTAAAGTTATGTTCTGTACAATTATTATTTATGAAGTAAAGATGTTCAACATAAATAGCCATTGAGGATGTTCAGGTTACCATCAATTCAAGAAAATATTTATTTTGAGCGGTTGCAGTTGTGAATCATTTTACTCTATTAAAATACCCACTTTTAATAAAATATCATAAGCCATGTAATTTGTGTACATGTAAAATTTGAGCAGAGGAGACCGCATTAACTCTTTACAACTTACTGAAATGTTATGAAACATACACTTAACGTTCACTTCATAGAAATATGACTTTCCCATTTCCCCGCAAGCACTTTATAGCATGGTACAAGTTTCTCTAAAGTTTAGCGTAAATGATATCAGGACGTAATATTTTAATAGGAAACTAACTTTTCTTATTTTATTTGATTTTAGTAAGTATAAAATAGAAGGAATTTGGCAATAAATTGAAGATTAAATCAACTTTTTAAAGTGCGTGAAAATGCGTGATTGCGAGGAAACGGTATATGCGTGATTTTGCGTTAGAAATAGGAAATGGTATACGCGTTAAAATGCGTGACTGCGGGGAAGGGGGTTAAACTGATCTCAGTCAGTTCTTGTACATGTTGTAAATAAAAGTTGTACATTAAACAACAAAGATAAACGATGCCTATAGCATATTATTTCTTGTATTGTTTATTCAGAGACTGTGTTTATATACCAATGAATGATGTTCGGAATATATTCATTGACAAAATTTTCAGAAAAATTAAAAGTGTTTTTTGTAATTCAACTAATTACTTTTGCAAAGTAATTGTAATTTAATGATTACATGTCTTAGAAAGACTGTAATGTAATTGTAATTTAATTGAAGCAAAAGTCAAAGTAATTATAATTTAATTAATTACTTTTTAAATACACTAAATTGACGACGGGTTTCTCCGTTATTTCCCGATCATGACAATTAGCACACGGAGGGTGTGACCGGTCGGCAGGGGATGCTTACTTTTCCATTGCACTTGATCCCACCTCTGATTTGGAGGTCAGTTTTTACTCTGCTTCTGTTTTGTATTGTTATATGGATTTTTGGTCTCGTATGCTGTTCGTTATCTCCATATGTTTTATATACATGACTTCAGTTGTTATTTTGAAATTTTTGTTAAAAATTGTATCATCTGTCTTAAATTTCACTGGAAATTAATCTAGGAAAATTATACTAAAATAATCACAGACTTTTGTGCTTTAATATAAAAATAGTTTTCTCTTTTTCTTTCTCTTTTCAATATCAATGAAAATAAATTATCATTTGGATGATGCACGCATTGGCTTGTATTTTGGATGACTTGTTTCATACTAAATGCCTTTGTTTTTGTACTAGATTTGACTACGGGTGTAACCGGACACTTGATCCCACCTCCTGAATTTCCAGGTGCCCATGTTGGGTTTTTTTTTATTTTACTTTTTTACAAAGTTGTATTGTTTAGGGACTTTTTTTTAAAGATCGATCTCTGTTCTTTATCTTCACCTTTAACTTTA